GGTATTCTGCTTTTAATCTATCTATCTCATCCTCTCGTGAGATAAGATTTTTTTCAAGATATTTAATATATAACTCACATCGTTCTAGATCATTTGTGAGCTTTCGAATCTTTTCCTTATTTTTTATGGTAATAGTTTCCTCTTTAGTCAACTTTATTCGCAATTCTAAATTGCTATCCAATAAATCAAGATATGCCCGCTCAACTCCCATTGATTCCTATTATTCAGATAGATTCGGGTGAAGCTAGAAATTTAGATATATCTATTGATTTGCAAAAGATTTATTACCAGCCTTCGGGCTATCAGAGGACTGCAAAAAAATTGCATGAAGCTTTTCTAAAATCTGGGTTTGATTTTATCTTAAATGAAGTGTGTGATTGGCTTGAAAGACAGGTTGTACATCAGGTTCATAAACCTTATCCTAGAAATATTCCAAGTGCATCTTTCATTAATATTACTATACCTATAGAGGTTATTTAAGCTGACTTATGCTATATGCCTTATGATCAAATTGGAAATAAAATTTATAAATTTGCACTTAATTGTGTAGATATTGCTACTCGTACAAAATGGACCTATCCCTTAACTAAACGTGATTCTGCTAGTGTTGCTATAGGTCTTGAAAATTCTTTTTAACTCCCAAAAATGTCCGCTTACTTAGCCTAAAAAAGATCTTATGGTGGATGGGGGTGTTGAATTTCAGGGTGATGTTATTAGATTAATGAATAAATATGGTATCAATATTCTAATAGCTAATTCTAAAGAAAGTATGAGTATTGTTGAAAAGTTTAATAAGACATTACAAGAATAGTTATCTATTATTCAAGATGCTATTGATATGAGATTACCTATATCAGAACGTTGTCGTGCTTGGGTTAGAAATCTTCCAATTTTTCTTGAGAATCTTGATAATTCTGTTACTCGTCTTCTAGGTATTTCTCCTGCTAATGCACGAAAATTGAAGTATATTTATGCAAAACCTTCTAAGCCTCGAAATGGGCCTATGGGTTTGATAAGAAGCAATTAACTTATGATGTTCTTGTAAGATATTTACTTAAACTAGGTGAGTTAGAAGGTGGAAGAAGACATGCTAGAGATATAGTTTGGTCTCTTCAAGTCTATCATATCCATGAATCTTTAGTACAAAAAAATCAGCCAGTTTTATACTGGCTGGAAGATGATGAAGGTAATAGTCTGAAAAGAACTTTTGTAAGAGAAAGATTGATGGTTATTAAAGAAGCACAGCTATCACCTCAATGGGTGTTTAGTAATTAAGAAAGTCTTCAAGTTCTTTATTAACTTGTTCTTCAGTATTGAAATGATCTTTGGCTAATTTATAGCATAATTTATATAGATCTATTACAGCATTAAGAATTTTTGGATCTTTTCCATACCAAGATTTAAAGTCATCCATAATACTATGATATTTATCCTTATCTGGGAATAATCTTTTTGCATTTTCTAGGATATATATATCGGGATCTTCTGCTTGGTGTAATTCTTTTACCCGCTCTTTATAGCTTTGTATGAATTTGCCATCCTTTGGCTTTCTATAATATATTCCTGCTTTGGCTACATTTATTAATACCTACTCGACTTCTTGGTAGGTGGGTTTTGCTTCGGGTAATTGAATTTGTGTACTCATTGTGTATAAAGTATATATTTTCTGTTATTTGTATTAATATAGCAGAAACTTTTATTTAAAATAAAATATTTATTATTACTATGATTGGCAAATATTCTTGCAACTATTTACTTCAAACTGGTGGCATCTGTGAACGTACCTGTCATCGATCATTAGGGTGTTATGAATATTAGAAAGCTAGGAAGCATTTTCCTTGCACGGTTTGTGATAAGCCGACTAGTTCTAAGCCTGGCCTTTATAGAAAACATGCTAGTGGTTATTATGTTACCCAGTATATTAATAGGCTTTGGGATAGAGCCATGGGTACTTATTGAGAGGCAAATTAGGGTTGAAAAATTTACACCTAACCCAATTTTTTTACACTTAAGGTGAAATTTAGCGACCTTAGCTTTATGTAAAGGAAATAGCTTAAGAATGGTTTACTGAATATTGAGAAATTAATAGTATACTAGAACTTGATCTAGAGCTTTTAGACTTTCTTGTATATATTCAAAAATTTACATCTAACCCAATTTTTTTTACACCTATCCCAAATTTATTTTACACCTAGCCTGAAAAATTTTCACCTAAGATGTGCTTAGGTGAAATTTTTTTACTTTGCTAGATGATAATGAATCCTTTTTAGAATTAATTCTAGGATATCTCATAAATTAGTATACATCTTAGGCTTGACAAGGTCGTAGCCTCGAATATTTCGTCACTTCGTTCCTCAATATTCGAATCTACTCCCAAAGGCAAGCAGTATAGCATAAATATTAGTATACATAGAAGGTTTGCAAAGTCTCCATGAGATTGACTTTGAACCTTTGGTTCTTGTTAATCTCATCTCGTCTTAAAGGCAAATAGAATGGTATATTTTTTTGATATCTTTGGTGGGTTTAAAATTGCATTAGAAAGGTTATATCAATTTGGTTGAATTTTAGATTTTGAAGCTCAAATTTTATAGCAAGGAGATTGATAACGAAATTGAGCGCCAGTAAAATTTTAGACCTGAATTCTATATTATGGATTCATATCGCTAGAAGAGTTTCTGGCCTATGATTGGGATCTTTTTGGATATCTTTTTCGAATTTTACCCCAGAACCCCCAAGATTGCTCTACTGGAGGGAGGAAGGAATAAAAAAATTATATAAAAAAAAATAAAATTAAAAAATAAAGATAAAATAAAAATTAAAAAATCTTTAACTTATCATTATAAACTAATTTGATTAGTCTAATTAAATGATATTTCATTATAACGAATTATTAATATATATATTAAATGATTTATTATAATGATAATAAATTTTTTTATAATAAAAGCTTAATCAATTTGGATGCTAAATTTATTATATTGAGTTTTGATTATAATAATAATATAATAAAGGATATTTAAAGATAATACGTAATAAAGTATATAATGACCTTTGAAATAATAAATGAAAAGAAAAATATGAATTAATAAAGGAAGATTTAGAAAAAATATAAGTATTAGAATAGGAATAAAAGTTAGAAATAAAGTTAATATAGAAATTAAAATTTGTAAAATCTAAAAATAGATTTAATGTAATATTAGAAATAATAGTAAAGAAATGATTAAGGTTACTAAATGAAATCTAGAGGTTTTACAAGTAGAGATTGAAACTGGTTCTATTTCTGAAAATCAGTTTTAAATATTTTCAAAAAATTTGACTTAGTTTAAACCAGTTGCAATCGATAACTGGATCAATTCGAGTGCTCAGCCCGAATCGAAACTGATTCTAAAAATCAGTTTGAATTAATTCAATTTTAAATTTTTTACAATGTTAGATATATAATCAACTTATTTATAAAGTTTTTATTAAATGTAAAATATCATTTTCTATTATATTTTAATTATTCTAATAGAGGAAATATATCAAAATGAACACTATTTCTTTTCAAGAATAACATCTTATTCACTAAATCTGAAGAAAGTCGAGTTCATTTAGCAGTAATATGATTATAAAGATAGTAGGTTAGGATTGAGTTTTTTAATCAATGAGTAATATATTTTGTTTGATTTTAAATTAATAAAACAAATAATTACCTTTTTTAACAGAAATTGTATGTTCTGATTAGAAAGTGGTTGGGCATTACGTGAAAAACAAAAGTTTGGTAAAAAAGGTAGTGGTAAAAGAATTCCAAAAGAAGTTGTTAAGTTATTAAAAGGTTATTTCCATAGCGAAAATACACCTGGTAAGTCACATTTATCAGCTGAAGATATGATAAGAGAATTACATATGGCTGCAGAAATGGGACATTTGGCAAAAGAAAAAATACCACAGAAAGTTGATATAATTAGAGGGTGGATCTCAAGATATTCAACACATATAAAGGTGGAAGCAGCAAAAAAAGCATTAACTACCAGTGGTAATTTCCAGTAATAAAATCTCAAGTTCAAGTAGGTATTATTTAGAAATCATATATTCGGTTATAATAAATTTTGCACTGAAATCCACACGTTATGTATATAAAAGCTCTTAAAAAATGAGATGCGTTAAAAATTTTTTTTACAAATAAAGATTTGTATTAATTGGCTATTAATTTCTGAAATTTTTTTTTATATTTTAAATGTAAAAATACTGTGTAGATCTTTCGAAAAATTTTCAATTTATATGATTATATAGTTGATCTTCACCAAATTTTACTAATTGCAGATCTCTACTTATTACATGAACTATAAATTAAATGGGTTTTTTATTGTTCAGCATTTTCATTCGACCTTTTAACACGTTTTCTTTCTCTATCGCATTTTTGACGAAGGTTACGTTATTCAGAAGTCTCATTTTTTCTTTCTTTACATTTTCAAAGGTTATCACGAAGAGGGCGTTCATCTATTTCACAGATATTATGTATAGCGAGCAGATACAAAATTTAACGAAGCAATGTAAAAAAAATAATAAAACTTAAAAGACAAAAAGCTATATTATTGTATAATTCTATCAATTAATATAAGATGCAAATAACAACTTTATTTTCATTTAGCTTGCAACAGTATTTATTTTTTAATTTTTAAGTTTAATATATGTAACAACAAAAAGAAGATGATAAATAAATAACGTGACACAGAATAGCTGTAAAAAAAGATTTGATCATACGAATAACAAAATAAAAAAGGTGTAAAACGTGATATTACAATAATACATATTATTGGCGAATCACGTGTGCGAACAGACATTGCATGCATATGCATGCATAAAAGCAGGTCTAACCGTATATGTCCTTCAGCTAAAGCTTCGGACAAATAAATAAATTGATAAGATTTTTTTTATTAAACTCTTAATTTATTCTAAAACTTTATCTTGAATTACTTTTTAACTCAAGAAAAAAATATAAGATATTTATATAAAATAAAATATTATAAAATCAAATATAACAAATAAAATATAAATAATAAATATAATAACTATAATAAATATAAAATATATATTAATTCTATTAAATAAAATATAACTAACAAATATAATAAATATAAATAATATATTTATTGTATCAAATGTAATCAATATATCATATCAGTTCACATCGTCAAATTTATTAAATTTGTTCATCATTTTTAATTAAATAACTAGTTAGTAATAATTAAGAATTATAACTTTATTATTAAAATTACCTTAATAAGAAGAATCTAATAATAGTAAAATCTGATATTAACTGAATTATTGTAAAATACATATTTTATTATATATTATTTATGAATTAAATATTATAGTTAGTTTTTTAAGAAGCTTATGAGTGATAAATGAAGCAATATTTATGTGTGATAAGCAGAAGGTTTAATTTAATAATTAGATTTAGAAGAGTGTCAATAAATTAACAGTTTATTTAATAACTATAATAATAGAATACTGCCTTAGTCAGCATTCTGTATTATATAATTATATTAAGAAAATTAAACTAAACTATTTTATAAAACTATGAGTCAGACATACCATTAAGCTAAAAGAAATTATCCTCTATTTATATAAAATGAAAAATATAAAGTTATCAAAAATATAAAAGAAATAAATACAATAAATAAAATATATGAAATAAATAAAATATAATAAATATATGAGATAAATAAAATAAATAAAATAAAATAAATAAAAAAAATATATTGTATAAAAGAAATATGTGTTATAGATGACATAGATGACATAGAAATATATATGATTTTCTAGGGATCAATGTCATCTTTTAGATCATCATCATCTATGTTTTCTTCTACGTAACATAAATAAGAAATATTTAAGATCTTATATTTTTTTTAATAAAGTAATATATTTAATAGTTAATTAGAATAAAAAATCATAAAGAATCAAAAAAAAATTTTTTAATTAATTTTTTTTTTTTATATAAAAATTTAATAAATTATAATATTTAAATTGTAAGTTATTTAATTTATATTATATTTTAATATATACAAATTAAATTTAATAATTAATAATATTTAAAATAAATTATTTTAATTTTATAGTTTAACTAATTTATTTTATAAAATTTTAATAATTTAAATTTATCTAATTTATTTTATAAATTTTTAATTATTAATAATATTTTTATTTATATTTGATATTTAATTATATTATTTACTATAATTTAAATTTTTATAAAAATAAAATATTAATAATTTAAATAATTTAAATAGTAAGTTTTTTTTTATTTAATTAATTTATTATAATTTTATTATAATTTTAAAAATATTAGAAAATTTCTAAGTCTATACAGAATTTTGAATTTTTTTTAATATTATTACCAAATTTTTTACCCTACATGATTATAAAAATATTTATTATTCTATATTATATTTTCTGTATTTTTTATTTTTATAAATATTCTAAGAACTTAAAATTTTTTAGAAAGTAAATTCATATTTATCAAATTTTATTTATCATATAATTAATTTTTTAATGTCATAATATTAACCAAAATTATATAAGAATGAAAAATTAGTAGTAATATTAGATAGTTAAGTATTTAAATACATATTATATAACTTATATTTGTTACTAATATTATACTTTCTACTTTTAATTTTAATTATTTATTTTAGAAACTTAAAAATTTTCAATGAAAAATTCTTATTTGTTATACCTTATTTATTATATAATTATCACTCAGATAATTTTTAATTACTTAATACTGGTAAAGTAATATTAATACTGCTATCATTGATTAAAATCAAAAAAATTAGACATGCAAAAAATCAGCCTAAAATCAGCTTTTAAAATTAGCAAATTATCAAAAATCAGTCTAGCCGATTGGCATACATCAGAAATTAGCTAAAAATCAGTTAAAATTTGATTTATCTTATTTATAGCTGATTGATGTCTGATTTATATTTGATTGATAAAACTAAAATATTTCAAAATAATAAAATTCAGAAGGAAATATAACTGATATTTTATAGGATTAACAGCCAAATAATGCTAAAAATATTTAATTTATTTTCATAAATGATATTTTCTATTAATTAAATTAACAGTCAAATATTTTTTTACATTTCACTAGATTGAAATTTGATAGTTAATCAGTATAAATTGACCTAAAATATGATAAACTGATATTATATAATCATGACTTTTTGGATAAAATTTGGTATTCCATAATTTAACATTACATGTTTCTTCTTTACTAAAATAATATCACATATTTAGAGAACTTCCAAATTTATATTAATGGATATATGCTAGAAAATGTTCAGCCTGTTTGAATAGTTAATTAATCTTATGAATAAAATAATATTAAACTTGGTTAGATAACAATTGACTGTACTATTATTATAATAAATTTGGCTAAAATGTATGAATTTTTACATATCGTAAAGATATTAACAAATTAAAGATTTTAGAACTAGTTTAGCACCTTTGAATTGATTCATTTTGACCTGAATTATTATACTATCTTTGAATTCTTATCAAATAGCTTTTTAAAATCAAATGTGATATATGTTGTATTTTAATATTTAACTATCAAATTAAGCATTTTGCTTAAAATAATTATATTATTAGATAATAGTTTAAGAAATTCATTAAGAAATAATTTACTATTAATAACATTTAATTTCTTAATATTTTATGTATTTTATTTAAACATATTTTTTAACTATTTAACCTATACATTTTTACATCAGACTACTCATACTTATCATAATATATACCTTTTTTTTATCATAACTATATCTTATAAATACATTTAGTTTTGGCATATCTTTTTGGTAACTATATCTTATTTAATATATTTTTTTTTGATATATATCTTTAGAAATGTAAGAGATCGTAATTCAGATTTTTACTGATATAATCATACATGATAGTCTTCAGAAATATCTTCATCATTAAGAAAATTTTTCCATTTTGTGTATTTTCCTTGATAATCAACAATAAGTTCTTCTGTTTGTATGTAATAATTTTTCCAATTTTAAATACATCTTAACATGTAATCACCTTTATTTTACACAGTTTTAGCAATTTTTTTACTAACATTTATTTTATCTTCTCTACTTAATAGTAGTTTTATATATTTATTTATACACATTAGATATAAATAATCATATATTAATATATTTAATTTAGATGATTTTATGAATAAGCAATATTGATTAACTTCTTTAAAATATATTTGAAAATTATTCATAAATTAGAGAATGATGCAGAGTTTTGCATATGTATTAAAGATGATTATGATTTAGTATTGATAGATATTATTAGTTTTTATAGTTATATTATGGTAATAGATGATATTTGACTTTGCACTAAAGACATTCTGTTAATAAAAGATATATTATTTTTATATTTTTTTCAAGTTTTATCTGCTTTTTTATTATTAGATCATCAAGGTAAACATAATTAAGATATAAATGGTTGCTTTAAATTATGATTTTTAATCATGTAACATATTATAACAAATATTGTTGACTAAATAATACTTTTAATAAAATAATCATTTTGAAATAAAATGTACAAAATGTCTTCTTCCTTCCTAAGTGTTCCTAATAAAAGAATTTGAATATGTGGAAGATTAAGTTGTATACATGCTTTTCAATAAGTCATCAAATTAGTTTTGTAGCATATTTTAATATTATCATTTATAAAAAAAAAAATAATATTTATGAGAATGAATTTTCTGCAAGAATTCATTCAAATGTTCTTATTTGTAATCTGCTCAAGATATTTATTATTTATATTAGCTATTTTGCTGTAACTAGAAATGTAATTAACAATTTATAAAAGAATGTAATTATACTCTGTTCATTACCTTTAATTTTATTTAATATTCATGTCTAACATTGGAGTCCTTTAGAATCACTTTCAGAGTGAATTACATTCTTTTCATAAAGAGAGCTGGATTCCGTTATATTTTTGATAAATTCATTTAAATTATATACAACACAATATTCTATAAAAGAATGTACAGATATGAAGTAGTATTTATCAGATTATTTTTGAGGCAATTAGATCTTTACCTTTATTAGGATCACAATATTAGTACTTTAGGATCTAAGTCCTAAGACTGCAAGTCCTTTTACTGCATTCCTAGGAATTGGTTCTTGCATCGCAGATGAACGAGACTTAAGAAAAATCCTTGGGATATTTTTAATAAATTGGAATCACCTCAAGTGCGTTATTTAATTTAGATTCCAAAAAGAAACTAACTCATCAAATTTATATTGTTTGTTTATATATTAAAATTCGAAATATAAGTAAAATTTTAGTTCAAAATTTTGATCTAAGCTGAATTTTCAGAATTTTGATTTATTTTTTTTATCATCAGGAAAGACGATATTTCAAATTTTGCCTAAATTAAGGCTTCATTGAAATAATTAAACTGTTCATCACTTTTTAATTACGCGAGCTTTTTTTTATTCCTTGCATTTATTTGTAAAGAAAGAGATATTCCCAAACCGTCTACTCTTGTCATGATATTATGACAAATTTTGATTAATTGTCAAGGCAGTATTAATAAAACAAAAAAAAAGTTAAAAATAATATTATTTCTTTTTAATGTTACAACTCACAGAGTCATATTTTGATTACTATTTATATAAATTTGCAAAAAATCAACCAATCCAATTGTAAGAAGTATTCTTGATTTCTAAAAAAAAGGAAAGATGATAGCAATGGTCGATGCATTACTGATGGACGCATTATACAGGTCAAAAAAAATGTCTAACCTCATTCTGTTCGTACATTTTCTGAAGTATGTAAATCGAGGTAAATACCTTTGTCAGTTTATTGATAAAGAGTTTGCATTTGAAAACTGTTTATAGATAAATAATATGAAATCAAGTTTAGATATTCATCTTCGAATGTTGAATAAACTTTTTGAAGATTTTTTTAATAATCGAAAATCTATTTGAATTTCGAACGGAAATTCCTATTCTTTTCATATAAAATTTCTTGGCAGGTAAATAATGTACTTTTTCCTCAAGACCAACTTTACAGAAACTTTGTTTCCTTACTATGCAGTAACTGCATAGTACCTAAGGTAGTAATTATATATAGTCACTTTGCAGTTATTGCGTATTAAGAAAACCAAGTTTCTGTAAAGTAAAATACTGTATATTCTGACAAATTCTCTCAAAGTTGTTAAAAAAATCATTTAATATATCTGAAAAAAAAATTCTCATTTTCTGGATTTGATTACGATAAATTTGATATTTTATACAAATTTGTTATCTATACATACTAAGTTATAAATAGGTAGTACATGTTTGTCTTTATACATATGTCATTTTCACTTCGTTAAACCTGACATTCAACGTCGTATTTTCGATTATTTCTTCTTGATTTATTATATTCGAATCCTTGCTTGATAAGTGTTCGTGTAGGAGAATGATTAACTATTACTTGTTTGTTTATTACATTGCTCATATCAAAAAATTATGTTTCGATAATCTTCTCGAAAATACTGTAAATTTCATATTTTAATATTGGATCAATATAGCATTAGTATAAATCATAAATTAATGATAAACCTGTGCAATCTATTGTACATATTCTCTATATAAAGTACATAACTTTTTGCAAATTAGGTTTCACCTTAACGTCAGTTGATGCAAAACCAAGACATTCTGAATCTATATCTTCCAAAATTTCGCCTCTCGTATGAAACCTGGTCCTAGAACAAACTAAATGCGCGTAATGTACTGGTGGGACAATAGAAACTGCACGTGTACATCGCACATTTGAATAACACAAGTTGTATGATAAGGTTTAAAGTGAATCAGCATTGAATCGGTTTTCATCATATAATACGTAATAATGTGTTAGACGCAAAGTTCCTTGTATTACAGCGTGGCTCTGAAGATAAAAGTCGAATTCGAACAAATGCGTTATTGTTGATTCAACTACCGTACCAACCGGACAGTTTCCTGTATTATCTGAATCTTTCTTATTCACAGGGAAAAAGTGAGTATGATGACCTTTCTGTATAACCACAAAGGTTATAGTTGGTTTATAACTTACATCAAGTGCATTACATGCGGCTGTTTTAAAGAAATGTGAGTATGATGAAGAATTCAAAAATTACAAGTTACTTTAGAAAAAATATGCATATACTTTTTACTGCTTCGACTTCAAAATTTAAAACTCAATGAAATTGACCATGCGATACACCATCTCGATAGAACAAAATACGTTCTGGCTTCCTTCCACATGTTTTGTAAAAGGTTATCAATAGCTCCTTTATCATACCTGCCAAGTCAGTGATGATTTCTAGACGATCTGCTTGAACGTGAGTAATAGTAGCATAGCGATATACTTTTGCATCTATTGAAGCGCATAGAGCAGCAATGCGTAGGCATGTTTCATTACCACCTGAAGTAAAATGTGCACCCATTATGATAGTTAGGCGTTTTGAAACAAATTGCATTTGACTTGGTTCAATGAATGAATTCATACCACTAAGTTTAACGTTCATTTTAAGACATAAATTAGCGTAATATTGTCTTTTTGCTTGAAAAATATGTTTAGATTGAACGCATTGAGTAGCAACACCAATTACTGTATCACCCACACGTTTAATTTCAGCATACATTAGTACACCGGTATTAGGAAGAATGCAGAAAATTAACTGAGGTAATGATCTGGCCATATTGCCAGCTTTAATCCAGGCTTGTTTCAAGATCTGTTCAATATTACCTTGAGGATTACCTTGTATAATTGGTGGATTCTTATTAAGGACTTTCATTCCAGTATTTTGACATGTGTTAATCAATTCTCTGATAAAATGTTGTATGGCTTGCATTGCGAAATTTTCGAAAACAACGCATGACCATGAACCAAGTGTGATACCATTAGCAACTTTATTATCACGTAAATTCTATGACCCTTTTTTTGGAACAAAGGCAGCGGTACGAGAAGAAGGATGAAATCGTATTGTTAAAGCAGGTAATATCCTGGCTGGAACTACAGCTATTTCCTCAGATACAACCAAACCAAATTGCCTCATATACTCATTTTGTCAATAATCAAGAATATCTAAACCTTGTCTAATTTTGTTTGCACGGATATGAGGTGGTTGACAAGAAAACTTTATCATATCTGCTGTCTGCCTTTCGTTCAATCTTCGAATATAAGGTTGTCCCTAATAAACGAATTTACAATTTACAATTATTTTATTTTATTTTATTTTTTTTTTAATAAAAAAAAAATTTTTTCTTTACGTACCTCAACTACTTTACATATTTCCAATGGTAAATTTACATCCTTTCGAATGATAACGCAAGGAAGGAATGAGTATTGTAGAGATATGTTGTATGTATTTTGAAAGTAAGTAGCAATATCTGTTCTAACACTATCAAAATCAAATGTAATATTTGACATCGGGGTATTAGTTAATTTAATAATCTTAAACGAGCGTTCGGAATAATCTTCACGATAAGTAATACGAATCTTTAAATTCTTTAAAACCCTTTCAAGTTTTAACCGATCTCTATCCATAATTCCTCTTCTTAAATCATCAATATTACGTAGTTCAAGTATCTTTACAACCATATGTACTAAATTGCAACTTTCATAAAAAGCAGTAGCGCTTACATCAACATTTATCATCATTCTTCCAGGTGTAGGCTTGACGGATTGACGAAATCCTTGCCAAACTTCTAAACCACCAAAACAAGCTTGTGAGATTTGGTTTGTATATAATGATCTACCAACTGCTTTACACGTCAAGGATGGTTTTTGACGAATTAATACATTAAGGGCCATAATTCCTGATTAATGTTGAAGAATAAAAAATTTGATTAATTATACAAATTTTGTAATTAATAATTATAACAACTAACGATTATAATCAATTGACCTGTTAAAATGTTTGCTGATGATCTCCAATTTCCATAAATGAATCTATGAAGTTCATTCATATCAATTACAGCGACCTTCTTAATGATGAGCTCAAAAGTATATTGTCGACTATTGTTTTGAAGACTTATATTGAAAGTGGAATTATCGCCAAAAGGTAACGGTCTAGAGGTAAAAATATTCTTACGGCCATCGAAAACAAGTTTTACATCACCAGCATGTAGGGCTTCAAATTGGGAAAAAACTCTCCTGTTTAGAGTCGGAGGAACTTGTGGGGTAATCATAAGGTCATAATGATGGATATTCGTGTTGGTTAGAGAGGTTATTTTGAAAAAGTTTGCTCTAATTCTTATAGGACGACCAATACGACCTAAGCCAGGACGTTTAACAAGGTCTGTTATGTTACTAGACATAATTACTTTTATAAAAGCAAAAGGGATGGATTTGAAGTAGGAAAAAATTTTCCCATTTTTGGCGCTTATAAAATTTAAAACAAAGATCTACAATGTCGTTTTTCACATGTAGATTGAAATGAGATGTGATAAGATTTCAATTTAATTAACCTGGACCTAAATTATCTTTCAAAGTGTTAAATTTTTTATAGTTTCTTCGACGTTAAAGAAATTTTCAACATTCTTTTCAATAACTTAAATACCTCTAGTTTTGGCTACTGTGGTTGCTTGCTTTAGAATGTCGTAATCATGTCAGTACTGTTACATTAAATTAATTCCGTCATTTTGACAGATTATCACGGTGCCGGGTTGTCACGATGCAAGGTTGTTAAGATGCCAGGTTGGCAGATGACAGGATAGTAGGAAGACAGGCTTCCAATAATTATTTTTTATCTTTAAACAGCTTTAGTGATTGGCATTTACTTAGTTAATATATTGACATTGCGAAAGTGTAGAGCGCCGACGTTGAGGCAACGCTGATTAATTTGATATTATTAAATAAATTATCATCAAAATTACTTCATTTTTACTTAATAAAAACCTTCTGCTTACATTAAAAATTGTTTATAAATACATAAACGAAAGTAATGAATACAAGTACTGACAGTTTGTGTCTTGTGTAAAAAAGGAAATTTTTTTGGAAATTCATTTACAAAAAAAAAAAAAAAAAAAAATTGACAAAATTTATAAAATTTTATAGTACTTTAATGGATGATTCAAAATCTATACAAAAAAAATTGTAATAAATCTACAAGAGAAATAGTTTAATTATAGCATCTTTATTCTGCAAATAACCTGTAAAATAATTCATTATTTGAAGGTTCATGTATTTTTTTAATCGGTTAATTTGAGGTTTCGATTTGATGCATAATATTAGAGATCTGCGTTCCTGCATAAATGCACATAAATTTGGTTAAAATCGAATGATTTCATTATTTGAAATTTTCACGGTGTCTCGTCGTATAAGTGAACACCAATGAATTTAGTTTGTGAATACAAACTTGAAAATCGATCGCATGTAGGGTAGGTGATTATTATTATTAATCACCTTATGCGTGGTGGCGTCATTAACTGGAAGTTTTAACTTACTTCTAGAATCAATTAATATTATTTTGATTAGTTTGCGTTTTGCATAGCTTTCGTTCGAAGGGAGGCCTGTTACCTAAATCGAGGTCATTATATGTCTATATCGCATTTTATTTGTTTTATTTGTTTGTACGTGACTTTCCTTAAATAATGAAAAGGTACAATGTTTACTGATAAACAATCCAATATTTAAGACAAATTCTTTTCATTGCATTATGTGACTTGCATTCATTATTTTTTTTACATCGACTAATATTGACTACAGCGATATATTTAATCCTTTTATGGAGGACTGTTACTTTATTTGCGTCTCCCGGCTAACGAAGTTAACGCAAGAAAAATAACAACAATTTTAAAAAGGTACGGGTTCTTTTTTTAAAAAAAAATTGGCCAATAAGATTCAGCATGTGACTTAACGGCGGGCAAGACGGATATGGAATGGTTATATTTACAATGAATTAAGAAATTTTTTTGAAAACAGTTGCCCAATTTGGCCAATAAAAAAAATGACTTTTTTTTTTTTTGTTAATCACTGTACCCGGACGTCTTTTGTGATTTCTTTATTTTAATTAAATATATACATTTCGGAACAAAAGATCTAAATATCGATTGAATCGATTACACCTTTTGTGCTTGATTATCTCCGGATTTTCCATGGCCAAACTGTCAAATAATCACATTACACAAATTTTCTTTTAAAAATGATTTGACATGGACTTGAAAAACAATATGATCCCTGTCTTTTTTTTTTCCCTAATTCTCCAAATTTTGTTCTTCTTCTTCACTTCTTTTTACTTTCTTTAAAACTTCTTATCCATTATTCACTTCACTGTTGTTGTTGTGAAGTTATTAAAAATGGGAGGCACGTCATCAAAATCTCGAAAGAACAAAGCAAACGAGTTATTAAGTTACAAGCCGGATGTTAAAGATGAAAACCCATTTGCAATATACTATATGGCATTAAATACAGGCGATGTTGATATAATGCATTTAGTTCATTTTTATTATAAATATATATGGCAGGGTTGTTTTTCTGTTCCATTAGAAGCAAAATTAATAGAAGGAGATGTCAAAGTATTAGATGTTGGGTAAGTTAAGTTTATCATCGCAAGTGAAAGGTTTTCTCTCTACTTTTTTTTTTTTAACAAAATTTAAATTTTTCAGCTGCGGTGTGGGAACGTGGCTGTTGGATTTGTCAACTCAATACATGAATAGTAAATTCGTTGGTATTGATATAATGCCAATATTTCCAGTTGAGGTAAAAGTTTTTTTTATTTTAAAAAATCAAATAAATTAAAGCTATCGTATACGACAAATTTTTATCGAAATCTTTTTATTTTCCTAAAGATAAAACCAGAGAATCTTGAATTTATCGAAGGAGACGTGTTAAACGGTTTGCCTTTTGATGACAATACATTTGACTTCGTTCATCAAGAAACAATGGGATTGTCGTGGACAAAAGACAATTGGCCATTTGTTATATCTGAATATATAAGGGTAACGAAACCAGGTGGTTATATACAATTTAGTGATCCTGATGTAGTTACTTACGGTCCTATACTAGGTAAATTCTTTGAATCAAGTATGTATTATAACTTTCTCTCTTTTTTTTTTTTTTACCTTCTTTCTTTACATTTTCAAAAGTATAAAAAAACAAACGAATTCTATTTAGTGAGAGATGTGTGTAAGCTAAGAAACGTTGACGGACATTACATAAAAACGTTGGATAAGGTATTAGAAAATTATGATGAAATAACAAACGTATGTAAAGATACAAGAGATGCAATCATGTGTGACGCGTTTGGTGGCAAGGTGGGTAATGTATGGTACGATATAAATCATATGGTTTTTACTAAAGATGAGATTGCCGAAGGATTATCTGCGTTTATGAATATTACTAAAGAGGAATATTTTGAACTGTGGAGTAAAGTTGAACAAGAAGCAAAAGAATCTAGATCGGTCACTCTATTACACAGGATTTCGTGTCAAAAGAAATATCGATAGATGAAATATTTTATTCTTTTATTTTTATTTCATTTCATAATTAATTATTATTATTTCTTATTATTCTTTATGTCCCATTGAATGTAGAATTTCATTGATAGAAGTATCGTACTATGTAGTGCATAATTTAATAAATAATAAGATTTACAATAAACAAACAATCGAATTGTTAAAATCAGGGACCCCAAACAAGACGAGTTATAATGTTTGTTTATGTAAATCGTTCTTCTTTTAGATTGCACATTCGGAGATTCATTACCTTTTTTAGATATTGATTGGCTCCGAAAAATGCAAATTTTGCTAAGCCGCCGTCTCACGTAATTTTGCATAATTCCAGTTACCTTCAAATGGAATACAAAAGATCAAACAATAAAAAAAAAAATAAATACAAACTAAAAAATAAAAAATTGGAGCTCATGTCCCAGAATTATGACAATTTATGCATTTGATTTCAAGCGCATTTTTTTTTTTTTTTCAAGTGATAATAATTAAATATTTTTAAAGAAAGCCTAGATCCGGCTATTGGAACACAAGAATGAATCAAAAGTATTCATATAAAATGTAATATCACTTTACGAATGTGGACAAGATTAACCAAAAAACGAGTTAGAATGACACATCCAATTCTAAGATGATGCGTCTTTCCTTTAAATAATAACAATTACAGGATTTGTCTGCGCCACAAATAAAAAACAAAAAAAAAAACAAAACGAATTCGCTGCGAAAAAAAAAAATTTTCCGGCAAGCCAGATTTGAACTAGCGACCTAGAGATGACAGGTTGAGATATCTTCTCACTACAGTCTCCCGCTCTACCAACTGAGCTATTGCCGGTTTTCGTCGTATGAAGGGCATTTTTAATCACTCAAGATAGTTGATACTTTCCTATTAATTAAATCTTTTTTTGTGCTCAAAGTAAGCTGAATCGTGAGCTTTTTCTTACATAACTTGAATTTATGTATCGGTATCAAGGATTTTTATATCTTTGGACGAGATTTTGTGAAAAGGTTAAAGTTTTCGATCTGCGTTTTGTAAAACTTGTTCATCAGGTTGAAAAATATATTTTGCTAAAATTTCATAAAACATAATTACTATTCATATAAGACATCATCCATATCGAACTTGCAACTATACGTAAAGAAATGCAATTTTGAAGTCCAATCTTACATCAACATGACTAAACTAAATTTGCAGGTAGCAGATATGTAACTCTCTTCACAACATCCAACTTGATTTACAGTCTATCATGTAATCTGCATTTTCATACAAAATATATTAAAATTTTTTTAAAGATTTTCAAATTACAAATTTAAAAGTTAGAGACAACATAAAAGAAATAAAATTGTTAATTGTTTTCAAAGAAACAGGTAATTGTTCAACTATTCTGCGCGGGTCTATAAATTTGCAACCCTGATAGATAGTATAAAATCTTATTATTTGTGCTGCATCGTATTCCTTTAAAAATTTATTAATATGGTCACAATTCTGATCATATTATTTACTATATCTCATGATTTACTGACAACATCTATAATAAATTTGTGCAACATACAGTATGTGAAATTACTATTACTAATAATTACAAAAATTTTTTATTTCTTAAAGGAAATAAACAAAACAAAATACCCCTTGGCGACAGAACTTGAGTCGCACATGATTTTTGTAATAAAGTTTAATGGTGATCATTCATAGATGTCAAGCCCAATTAAAAAAGACAGTTTCACCAACAAACTTCTTAATCATTGTAGATTCAATGGATATTTAAAAATTTTTGAATTAATTAAAATAAATAAAAATTTTAAATTTTTGTTTTGTCATCATCCCACCCATTCTTAGCCAATAATTTCATTTCTATTAATTTTTTCTACGTTGATCTTTTAAGGATCACAACATTTGATTTATGTTACCAGGATCTGTACCTTCAATTATTTCGTTCTAGGCCCCTATTACATATTTTTATTAAAATCAAAATTTCAAATATTAATAATACAAATGTGATTCGTCATGTGCTAAAACTTCTAAATAAATACAAGATTAATGATCAAATTACATTTCAAAAGGTTCGGGTATATTAGTTACGAAATCGGATTTTTAATCAATCATATTAATTTCATCGCATTTATAGGTCAATCTTATACTTTAGCTAGTGATATATATAATTTTTAATATATACTGAAATGTAATGTATACTTCATTTGTTAACGGAAGATACATTCACGACGTGATCCGAGCATCATCACCATCAATACCAATAGTCAAATATCATGTTGCATATCAAAGCTTTTCACAAGATATGAAATCGTATGTTTTAGATTTCATTCGTCATTCCAACTTAGTCACCATTATATATTTAAGACTTTGCAATGGGGAAAAATAAAAAAAATGAGTTGATGATGCTAAATAAGAACACATCTCGGTCTGAAATCCAAATTTGGCATATGAAGTAAAATTTGATTTTTCCCGGCAGTTTCTATTGCATTTATTTATCCATGACGTGGGGAAAATTAGCATAACCCGAACTGAACAATGAATGTTTAAAGATTTGATTGAATCAAATTAATGACCCGGTAAATTTCATAGTTACTAACGCTCGTATAAAAAAAATGACTTTTTAAATATATCACGTGCTACTGACAATCTTTTTTTAACAAATTTTCCAAAAACATCCTTAGTCCGAATTTTGTCAATGCATTATTTAAGTAAAATATCGGATATCGGGACATTTGATATGCATATTTTATTTTACTTAGAGTACACACTTCGGACTTTGCAATAGTTTCTTTTTCTTAGCAATGTCATTGCCAATTCAAATGTACTGAGTGTGAAATGTATCACGGGCGAAATATTAAATAACGGGCGTTTTGCTGCGTTAACCAAACAGATTTGGGCGCAAATAAAAAATGTAAGTTTTTGTTTTAATCTCCCTTAAATAGTGTTTAAAAGACGCGGCAGCTAAAAGTAGACAAGCATTTAGAGTAAACAAGATATAATTTAGGAAGGCTGAGATATCATTGTTGACTATGCACATGCACGTGAAAAAATCTTTGTAGATCCTGTTACTTGTTTTTAAACTTTTTGGGCGCATCAAAACCAAGCTAAATTTTTTTTGGAGCAAGAAATATTTTTCTCACATCATCTTTGTTTTTATAAAAATAATCATGGTTGACAATGTTAAAGTAACAGAATTTGTTAAACGACCTGGCTTAGGTCGTATTGGTCGATCTATAAGTATTAGAGAAAACTTTTTCGAAATAACCTCTCTAATCGACTCGAATATCCACCACTATTACATTATAATTAACCTGCAAGTTCCTCCGGAGAGTTTTTTCCAGTTTATGGTCCTACATGGTGATGTAAAACCTGTTTTCGATGGTCGACAGAATATTTTTGACGCTAGACAATTACCTTTTGGTGATACGGCCACTTACAATATATGTCTTTCGGAAGATGCCGGTTTTTCATCTCCTCTGCGACCTCTGCGCCTTTTTAAAGTTATAATTAGGAAGGTCGCTGTAATTAATATGAATGAACTTCATAAATTCCTTGATGGAAAATGTATATCATCACCGACCATTTTAACAGGTCAATTGATTATAATTATTAGTTATAATTATTGATTACAAAATTTGTATAATTAATCAAAAAATTTCATTCTTCAACATTAATCAGGAATTATGACCCTTAATGTATTAATTCGTCAAAAACCATCCTTGACGTGTAAAGCAGTTGGTAGATCATTTTTATACGAACCAAATCTCACAAGCTTGTTTTGGTGGTTTAGAAGTTTGGCAAGGATTTCGTCAATCCATAAGGCCTACACCTGGAAGAATGATGATAAATGTTGATGTAAGCGCTACTGCTTTTTATGAAAGTAGTGATTTAGTACATATGGTTGCAAAGATACTCGAACGTAATATTGATGATCTAAAAGGAGGAATTCATAATAGAGATCGGTTAAAACTTAAAAAAGCTTTAAAGTATTTAAAGATACGTGTTACTCATCGTGATAATGGTATCAGATACTCGTATAAGATTCTTAAATTAACTAATACCTCAACATCAAATACTCAACTTAATTTTGGGGACGAACGGATTGATATTGTTTCATACTTTCAAAATACTTATAACAAACCTCTACAATTTCCATCCCTGCCTTACATGGTCGTCTGAGGAATTATATTGTTTCCAATGGAAGTCTGTAAAGTTGTTGAGGTACGCAAAATATGCAACTTTTAGGAGAAATTAAGAGAAATGTTTTTTTTCTTCTTAGATATAAAATAGATAAAATTCGTTTATTAGGAACAACATTTTATTCGTAAATTGAACGAAAGGCAGACAGTAGATATGACGAAGTTTTCTTGTCAACCACCCCATATCTGTGCAGACAAAATTAAACAAGGTTTAGATATTCTTGATTATCGACAAAATGAGTATATGAAGCAATTTGGTCTGGTAGTATCTGAGGAAATGACTGTAGTTCCAGCCAGGATATTACCTACTCCAAAAATACGATTTCACCCTTTTTCTCGTGATGCTTCATTTTTTCCAAGGGATGGGTCATGGAATTTACGTGATGAGAAAGTTGCTACTGAGGTCACACTTGGTTCATGGTCATGCGTTATTTTCGGAAATTTCGCAATGCAAGCTGTACAACATTTATCAGAGAATTGGTTAACATATGTCAGGATACTTAAATGAATATCCCAAATAAGAATCCACCAATTATTCAAGGTAATCTCAAAGTAATATTGAATAGATCTTGAGGAAAGCCTGGGTTAAATCCACCTCAGTTCATTTATGCATTCTTCCTAATATCAGTGTACCGTTGTATGCTGAAATTAAACGTGTGGGTAATACAGTAATTGGTGTTACTACTCAATACGTTCAATTAAACATATTTTTCAAGCAAAAAGATAATATTGCGCTAATTTATGTCTTAAAATGAACGTTAAACTTGGTGGTATGAATTTATTCATTGAACCAAGTTGTATACAGTTTGTTACAGAACGCCCGACCATCGTAATGCAGTGATGGCAAATGATCAGGTCATTTGATAATTTTGAAATGACCTCTGAATGACCAGCGAATGACCTAGTCATTTGAGGTCATTTGTCATTTGGTCATTTAAATATAATACAGGCCAAATTCTATATGCTGACCAGAATTAAAATTTATATCACATGAAATATTTATGAAAACTTTCGAATCATTAAATTACATTAATTATTTTGGCCAGAATTATTGAGATCACATGATATAATTTTTAAATGACCAGGTCATTTGTCATTTTTGTCATTTAATGTTGGAATGATCCAAATGACACATGACCAGTCATTTGAGTCATTTGAGGTCATTTGGGTCACTTGCCATCACTGTCGTAATGGGTGCAAGCGTTACTCATGCTCCTGGTGATGATAAGTTTCGTCTATCCATTGCTACTCTATGCACTTCAATGGATGCAAAATTATCTCGCTATGCCACTTCTATTTCTGTTCAAACAGGTAGACAAGAAATCATCTCTGATTTGTTACTTATGGTAAGGGAGCTATTGAAAACCTTCTACCAGACATGTGGAAGGAAGCCAGAACGTATTATATTCTATCGAAATAGTGTCTCAGAGAGCAAATTTGAACTAGTGTTATATTCTGAAATCGACGCAGTAAGAGGTACGTGCATATTTTTCTCAAATAATTTATAATGATAATTTACTTTTATTTCCATTTCTTAAAAAACAGCTTCATGTAAATCACTTGATGCGAATTATAGACCAACCCTAACCTTTGTAATTGTATAGAAAGGTCATCACACTCGCTTTTTCCCAATGGATAAGAGAAGATAGGTCAAGAAACTGTCCAGTTGGTACGCTTGTTGAATCAACAATAACGCATCCTTTTGAATTCGACTTTTATCTTCAGAGTTACGCTGGAACACAAGGAACTTCATATCCTACACATTATTACGTATTGTATGATGAAAACCGATTCAATGCTGATTTACTTCAATCCTTATCATACAACTTGTACTATTCAAATATGCGATGTACATGTGCAGTTTCTGTTGTCCCACCAGTGCATTATGCACATTTATTTGGTTCTAGGGTCGGTTTATATTCTCAAGGTAAAAATTAGAGTGATCAAAGTTCAGAAAATGATGACTCTATATCAACTTATGGTATGGTGGAAAATAATTTGTTAAAAGTTATGTATTTATATAGAGAAATAGCACAAAATTTATCGATAATTTATATCAGCTTTTTATATAATGTATATAGTCATATTTCTATAAATAGTTTTAATAAACTAAAATTTTGAGACAAAATATTAAATTATGAGAATTTATTTTTGAGATTATATGATGATGTCAAAGCTTTACTGATCATGTTAAAGCAATGAAAAATAAATAATTAACTATGATTAACCTTTCCCAATTTTGATCTAATTAGATTACGTCCTAATAAAATTCTTGTTGTTTTGTTATACCAAAGACACCTCAAAATTTCAAATAATGATGTTCATCACAATTGTTACACGGCTCTTGTTGTTGATCAATCATTGTTTCTTGCTAACTTTCTTCCTTTCGTCTGTTGACTCATTTTACCATTCTTTATGTCTCGAATTCAAGATGTAATATTATATGAAATTTCTCAAATACCTACTTGATGAATTCCTTGTATACCTCATCAGCGAGATTTCAGTAAAGATAAATTCATTCCTTCCTCATTCAATTGGCTCAACAGTTGAGAATGTCATAATTCTTGAGTCTGTCACAAGTAATTCTTATTAAAGGCTTGGTTTTTCACTCCTAATAATAATTTGGAATAGGAATGCAACGATAATCTGATCTTTCAACAATAGTAGTAAGTTGTTATCTAGAGTAATGTTCTACTTTTTTGAATAGATAGCTCGGAAATTTTTGCAACGAAAGATTTTTGATTCAATTTCAATTCTAAGAAGACATTGAACTGTAACTGATTCCGATATGAGAAAGTTTTACACTTAAATTAGTTTAAAACAATCAGAACATGACAAATTTGTTTTAATATTTAATTCTTTGTAGAATTATTTTCATTTTCATTAAATTTTTGAAGAAGCAGCTTAACTGCAATAAGTTGAAGGTTTAAATTGGTTGAATTTTAATCTTTAGCCACAACAATAAAACTTTGAAGAGGAAATAAAAATATGGATTTCCAAGTATAATGACATTATTTCACGAGTTAATAGATATACGGGATTAATCACGAAATTCGATATTTCACATGATGGCAACTAATAGTTTGTCAGAAAAGAAATAGTAGAAACGCGCCTTAACACATTACTAAAATATAGGGCAAACATTTCTTTTATTTTTAAATCAGAATTGTATTCGTTTTCAAAGGTCAAAGTGTTTAAGTATACAACTAAACCACAATTCAACGTTCATTTGAAAGACGTACTCCTTCATATTTAATATAATATTGTATATATTATATATTTTTTTGATTCAGCGTGATCCCTTAATTATGATAATTATGCAAAAGAATTTTACACTCGCCACACATTATAGAATCATATCTAGACTATGCAATTAATTATTTTTACTGAGTATTGAGAATTTAAAGTAAAATAATTAGTGGGTGGGATATATTAATACTCTTTTATTTTACCATTTTGGAAGTTAAGACGTGAATGTAATAAATAAATCCATTTTTAAATTTTTTTATATTCTCAGCATCACTTGATCAGACTCCTTTAATACAATACTAACACTTAAGTTTAATTAATAATCTTTAATTTTATTTAAATTGATTATCCTTTAGTATCATTTTTTTAATTTACATAGAATTGTTCGGAGGTTTGCTATTAAAATCGAGTTACGAATATAGTAAATCGTGATTTTAATAGTTTACTTCCAAATGTGTGAAAAATGTATTAATCTAATTAAAAGGGAAGAGAATTTAAAAACCCCACCAAACTTAAGTTTTATGATCAAATACGAATTAAATAAATGGATTATAAGCACCTAAGGTAATCGTATCGCCTATTTCTTAAAGAAAAACTCTAATTACCTAGCATCTGGCCTCAAATACACTCATATATTATGAAAGGTACTGTTGCAACAAGGATGATTAACCAAACATAATGAATACATTAGGAATTTTTCTTCTCGAACGGACCACCCATTAGCACTAACCAGAATACTAGATCAGATTTCCCAGATAAACATTTAAATACATCAATTAGTGAATAGACTGTAAGCCTTTTGCCAGCAGATACGGTCACCACTTTCTATTTAAATCCCAATGCTCAAAGAAACCAGAAACAACTTGACTGGAAAAGTCTTACTAAGAAAAATTGAAGATAAAAAAACCACGGTTTACAGGCTTGACCATATAATAGGTAAATTTTGACCAGTGTATGAACAAAGAAGTCGCACAATGCCTAAACTGCTAAATGCGGAAAAAGAACAATAAAATTCGAGTTGAAAATGAAGGAAAGTAATAGGATCCTTGATAAAAAAAGTGACCTAAAGAAAAAGTAAGTATTTGTTAGATAATCATATTATAGTAGTAAAGCCTAAAGTAAAGTTTGGCACATCGAATACTCAAAAATTTTAACTTTATTCTTAATCGCTGAAGAATGCCGCTATATATATATTATTCAAAATAAAAAAGAAGTAGAGTTGAAGAGAATCATAATGAAAATTTTTCTTAAAAAAAAAGATGATCACATAATATGCCTTAGTTTTAGAAAAAGTGATAATGTTTACTACTACATCAGAAAAAAGAAGTTGATTGATAAATTATTACATTTATAGTATCACTTAAAACTCCTAAGAAACAACTAATCGGCTGGATTTCGTACATATAAAAAGAGGTGAAAGTGGAGAATATCACTAGATAGAAATGGAAAATGCGTAAATGAATTAAAAAATGCATAAAAATACAATAGAACAAAGATTTAGATAAAAGGTACCAAACACACTAATGTGTTTTCGTTAATATACATTCATAAAAGTTAGCTATCTGTAAAAAAAGGAAGAGGAATAATAGCGACTTCACTTATAATTAAAGAGGAAAATCGTAAAAAGAAAAAGCAAAGTTAAAAAGAAAAAATTATAAAAAATTACACAATTTGATTTGACTTTTTAAAAGATGGAAAAGCAAGGTTAAATACTCACTCTTTTTTTTTCATGCGATGTATTTTTATTTATATCAGTTTCCAAAAAAGGTAATATAATGCGTTAACTATTAGAAACGTATGACAAAAATTCACAGCATTTTGTTTAACGGTAAAATTCTGATATAAAATTTCAAAATAATTGGTTGAAATTTTGCACACGCACTAACTTTTTTGTAGATATACTTGATGCAAACCTATAAACAGCCAATCAAATATTATACATGTGACCCTTTTGATATATGCATCAAATCTGTACTGCTCAATTTTGTGTATCGAACACAAAATGCATCAAAAAGTACAATTGTTAAGTTCGGAACATAAGTGTAATGAAAGGGACCAATCACGTATTGACTAAATTTTTGAACGGGCGGACATCTGGACAATTTGCATAGACATATATAGTCCTTCGACTAATGAATCATGAATAATTGAAGGCAACTAAATCATGAATAACCAATTTATACTTAGTTTTGATGAATTAAATAATAAATTAAAATTTTTATTAGAAGGAATTAAGAGACTTAAACATCAACATGAAAATCTTCGAGAAGAAAACAGAGAAACATTATGTATTAATTCTCAACTTAAAGAAATACTTCAAGACAGCAATGACAAATTTGTAAAACTTTAACGACTAGTTATAAATTTAGAAAAACAATTGAAGGAAAGTAAAAGGCTTAATCAACAACATAAAGAAAACAATCGAGAAACCACATGCATTAATTCTGAATTAAAAGTAAAGCTTCAAGAAAGAGATGAGCAATTAGAAAAGCTTAAACGACAAGTTCTAAATCTAGAAAAGCAAAAGTTAGAAAAAAGTAGAAGGCTTAAACAGCAACATAAGAATTTTCAAGAAGAAAATCAAGAAACTTCACGTATTAAATTTGAATTAAAAGTAAAGCTTTAAGAAAGAGATGAAAAGCTTCAAAAAAATTTGAAAAATATAAAATAGAAATCGAAATGAGTCCTCAAAACTTAGAAAAAACTGTAGTTAATGAAAATGACAACGAAATTAAAGAAAATAATATGCATTTAATTAGCGAAATCTTCAGACGAAAAGATAGTAATAAACTTGCCAACAATATTAAACATTCGTGGGGCTATAAAGATAAAGGTAACATAGAAGAATTATTATATTACAATAGCATTATTCTGATTAAAAGCTAAACTTTTCTATACATTTTTAAGGATGTATTCGAATCTTGGTCGGGTTAGACTTTGGTATAACTTACACTGGATTTTCTTATTGCCATGTTATCAGCAAGAATCAAGATATAATTTCACATAACTCATGGCCTGGAATTTTAGGCTGACTAAATAATAACACAGTTCTTCAATACGATGATAAATATAATAATGTAATATCATGGGGCTTTCCAGCTTTAGTTAAAAGGTCATATCGTCGAAAGTTGAAAAGTAGAGACAGATATAGTAAAATGGAACTAGTTAATTGTTTAAATTACATTTGAGCAATTTACCAGATAAGTTTAAGCCAAAGCTTCCAATTGGATATATAAAGGCTATTATGGATTATCTTAGAGAAATTGGAAAGGTATGATCAAATTCTCAAAAATCATTAAATATATTTATTATTAATTTTAAGTGCATTTTAAGGTGATGAAGGAAACAATTGAAATGCGGTATCCAGGAATTCATTTCTTGACCAACGTATTATTAGTTCTTACGTATCCTGAAGAATATTCAGATAACACAAAAGAAATTATGAGGGAATGTGCATTTAAAGCAGATTGATTCTGGAATTTATTACAGAATGTGAGAACATTCTCTATCATTATGATTTGATCTTATTGAAATTTAATTTTCTAATTTAATATGTCATTTTAGCTAAAGCTGCAGCAATATATTGTATTTTTAAAGAGCATAATCTGAAAAAACTAGGAAGTACGTATAAAAATTTGCTGAGATCTTCTATTTCTAATTAAACTAAATATCTAACATCATCTAAATCATTTGCAGCAACATTTATGATTATCGATTGTGATGAAACAGTAAATTTGACTATTTGTAAACTTATGAATGGAAAACAAGTGGATGTAGTTTCTAAAAAATCTTATAAAGATGAAAGTACTTTTATTGATGCTGAATTTGTCAAATACTTGCGTAAAAAACTTGGTGATAGACCTGTTAATTTGTTAAGGTATGAACAGATGCAATATTTGATTCAAAAGTTTTCTCGACAGTGTAAATTACATTTTACGGGATTAGCTAAAGACTTTACTTATGAATTGGATATCGATAAAACGATTCCTATAGTCAAACGATATATTTCTGGTGATAAAAGAGTATATCTGAAAGAAATTGAATGGATAATTAAGTTTGATATTAATGAATTAAGGTCGATATTTGACCCTTTTATCGAAAACATTATTCAGTTGATTCATAGAGAACTCGATGGTTATCGTGAAAAATGTTTAGCATTGTTCTTAATTGGAAGTTTTTGTGAATCAAAATATTTACAAAATAGAATTAAAAACAATTTTCAACATAGAATATATATTTCAGTTCCTACTCATCCTATGGATACAATTACACAAGGAGCTGTAAAGTATGGATTAGATAATTGGTAATTGGTGATAATTAATTAGGGATGTTAAGCGGTCCTAAGCGGTCCTAAAAGCCCCAAGAAAATTACAAAGAATTATTTTTATAAATTTATTATTAAACTTGTCTATTATAATGTTTTAATGAGCTACTTAATGAAATAAATAATAAACCCTCTTGGGAATCCCAGAATTCTTAAAATTTAAAATTTTAGGATTTAGGATCGGTCCTATATTTAGCAGTCCCGTAAAAATTGCCAATTTTAAATATCATTTTTGCTTTTTACAAATTAATTAATTAATTATGACATTTTTTTTGATGGGGTTACTTATTATAGATAAGTGATTAGACTTCTCTAATGTTAGTAATCTCTTAAATCGTAAGGACCGGTTAACATCCCTATAATTTATAGATTAATTATTTTATATTCTATTTTTAATAGGAAATTAATTAGTAGGATTTGGTAATATTTTAGTTATGATTTTGTGAATTTATATTAAGTTTTAATATTTAATAAATTTAATAAATAAAAATGTACTAATTTTATATACGTATTTGATTAAATTAATATTGAATTAAAGCCAATTTTAGACTGATTAATAATTTATTTAAATTCCAAATTGATGCTAAATTGCTTATCTGAATAGAGTTAATAAGTAGTATTTAAACTTATTTAAGTTTTAGATTAATGCTAAATTGATACTAAATTGAGGCTAATTTAGACTGATATATAATTGAATTTAAATGCTGAATGGCTATATTTAATCAGCATCAATTAATATATATTTGTACAAATTGAAAATATGAAAAATTGGTTAAATTTATAATAGATGATAATATCGATATTATCAATTGTTATTCTATTCAAGTGTAATATTTTTAGTCTGAAATGTAAATAAAAAACTATCTATATATGAGTAATTAGAATAAAAAATATTCATCTATCCATCTGCTAAAATTTGAATCAATACATAGTTGGTCTTTTTCATTACACTTGTATTCTAGTCTTAACAATGATTTTTTGAAACTGTTTCCTACTTTTACCTATCAATTAGCTTATTAGATAAAATGGCAAAAATGGTTCTACTAAAAATTTTTTGGTATATATTCTATAGTATAAATATGTAATTCTAGAAATATATGATATTATTTTAAAAATGATAATAATTATGATACTTGTAATATAAATTATGAAATACTAAATTTTATTAAGAATTGCTTGATTATATTATTCTCGTGTATTATATTTTTAGCTAATTCATTTAATAAATTATTAAACTTCAGACTAAAAAAATACAAGAGAATATTTAGTTATAATCAGATTAATAAAAAATATTATATATTATAATTTATTATATTATTTGTGATTTTAGGTAATTTTAGATTTTATTTATATAATAAATTTAGAATACTAAACAAATTTTTTTAAGATATTGCAAAATAATTTTATTACAAAGTTTATAATTTTAATTGATTTTAATCAAGTATTTTATTTGTATATTGAACTTAGAATTAGAGTTCCAAATTTGACCTGACGGGTCGGATGACCCGACGGGTTGACCTGAAAATTTTAGGTCAGATCTACAATTTGATGACCTGACATCAGGTCGGGTCAAGTCCTTAATCTGATCCGTTAGATCCGGATCAATTTATATTAAAATTTACTAACTATATTATTAATTGATTATCAATCTTTTTTTTATCATCTTTTTTTTCATATCTTGAACACTTTTATTCTCAAGTATATAAAATGTCTAACAAAAATTTTTCAAAACGTCCTCATTACGAAATTAATTCAGACTTAGAAGAGAACACTCCTAATGAAGAACTCAACTTAAATAAAGAAAGCAATGGATTTCCAGAAAAATCAAATTCTGTTTTAAGCTCACTAGACGAAAATGATAAAAAAAATAAAAGTGCTGTGTGGGACCATTTTGATAAATTTGTAGATAATAAAGGTGTTATATGGGCAAAGTGTCAATATTGTTTGTAAGAGATAATACAAGCATTTTTGAATAATTTTGTCTGCATTTCTACATGGATAGGAACAAATGTTTTTTTAGTTGAAACATATTTTTTTTTAAAAAAAACTATTTTTATTAGAGGTGGCAAATATAATATGAGCAGTGGAAGTTCAACTGGTAACTTAAATCGTCATCTTAAGTCACATCCGGAGAAAATTGATCCTATAATTGCGAAACAAGCAGAACTCATGAAAAAATTTCTACAATCAGATGATAAAATAGTGAGTATAATTTATTCTATTTTTACTTTACCTTAAAGTAATAAATTATTTAATTATTATATTCATTTTATTTAGACATTTTCTAATGAAATTTTTCGGGAAAAACTTGCTAAATGGATTGCTGCTGATGATCAACCATTCACTGTCATTAAATCACCTGAGTTTCATACTTTAATAAAACTTTGCAATCTAGTAGCATATATTCCATCAGCGGATACAGTGAGAAATAATATTATTAAGTTATATAATAGCTATAAAACAAATTTGCAAAATATATTACAGGTTAGTAAAATAAATTATAATATT